AATTTAGTTTTTTATTTACTTNTAATTTTTNNAANCATTTTGTTAGTAAATNAATATCTAAAAGCTAAATTATTTATTAAAATAAAAAATAAAGATTGACTTATTTTACACAGTCGACTTATATTTTGGTTCATTGATTTTTTACTTTGTTGATTTATTTATACAGTTGATTTATTTTTATGTTCGTCGACTTAATATTCAGCTTCGTCGACTTATTTTAAACTGTCGACTTATATTTTGTTTGATTGATTTTTTACTTTGTAGACTTGTTTAACCATTGACTTATTTTATTTTTTTTGTCGACTTAATATTCAACTTCATCGACTTATTTTAAACTGTTGACATATATTATCGTTTGATTATTTTTTTACTTTGTCGACTTATTTAACCATTGACTTAATTTTCACTTGTATACACTTAATTTTCAGTTTCGTCGACTTATTTTAAATTGTTGACTTATATTTCGTTTGCTTGACATTTTAAGTTATCGACTTATTTAAACCACTGACTTATTTTTGTTAATTCGTTGACTTAAAATTTTGTTTCATCGATTTATTTTAAACCATCGATTTATATTTTGATTGATTGACTTTTTACCTTGTCGACTTATTTAAACCATTGATTTAATTTTTTGTTCATCGACTTGACATATTATTATATAAATTAATTAAATTGTAAATTGTAAAATTAATTAAAATCAATTCCTTAGATATTTTATCAAGAACTTTTTTTACGAGATTATTAGATTATCAATAGATAGTTATATATTAGTTTTAAATATTATAAATCAATTTTTAAATAAAAACTAGAAAAGTTAAATCATTTTTTTTCTAACTTAATCTTGTTAAATAAGGATATAATTGTCATTTCAACTCTTAAAATATGGTATTTTCAAAGTGTAACAAATTTGGTATAGATTTTAAATTTCCAATAAGATTTGGGGTATACAAGCCAATTTTCTCTATTTTAAAACTAATTTGGTAATTATTTTGAGTTTGATGTTTGAGCGATTTGGGAATTTACAGTTATCTGTCTCGTCCAGGCATTGACATCATCAACTTAGGAAAGACATGGGATAAGATTCAGATGGCTGCTAGGGTTTCTTCGCCACCGCTAGTAAAGAAACAATGAATTAAAACAAGATTATGGCAAAAAAAAAAACGTTTGTAGTGTGAATTTGGTTGCTGTTTAACCAGCTGTTCGATATGTTATTTTTTACCGAAAACTCTCAATAAACAAAAGGAAACATTCATTAAAATGCTTATATACCAAATAATTTCTTAGTCACGTCAAAACGAACCATAAATTAGTGTGATGATATAAACCCTTAAGTTCTTCTTGCCACGACCACACTTGACTTGCACGGCAAGTGTCTTCACAACATTCTTGCATAAATCTTTCTTGTCTTGTTGGAAAGTGATCTTGTTCACTAGAATCACACATTCTGCTTTCCCCAAACAAGCCTGCAACAACGGTGTTTTTTTTTTTTACTTTTTGCAATGCGAAGAACAAAGACTTTTTCCCCCATTGAGCATTTCTCCTTCCTCTAATGCTTCCTGACACAACCAAAGAAACATAAACGAGAAAAATCCTTTGGAACATTTCCCTCCACTGACTCAAGCTCGAAGTAAAATGGCATACAATTGTTCTCATAGAGATAAACCCCACCATACTATTTTCTTTGACATAAGTAGAATGGCATACAAGTTCTCATATATGGCAGGAGATAGTTATATATAGGTCAAGTTATAAGACAAGTCCCACCAAACAAATGAACATACAAGTCTAAAACGTAATCTCATTGCTTGTTTTCACCATGAATTAATGATACCGTCTAGAAAATTAGTTACGGGAATATCACAAGGATTTTTATGCCTAGTCCATTGACATATATTTCATCAGATATTTGCTTGACATGAGAGTTATAATCGGTTGGCAAATGGATAAATCAAATAAGTAACACAAAATTCTCTTGTCCTCATCAATTTTCGACCTATTTACTTTCTCAAGGTTTTTT